TGTAATCCGGCACAAGTGCCGTTCAGCCTGGCTTAAGTAGTGCTATCTGTCTCCTTTAGCACTGTTGACCGAGCAAACTGTGTATTTTATCAGCACCCTTCCCTTCCCAACTACAACTGGAAATAAAGGAAAAATCTATTAAAATCAAACAAATTATATTTGTACAGTCTGTGAGTATGTCGTCCATTTATGGAAAGCCAATAGGGCCAAAACGTGTGAAGCCAAAATATTACACGTAATTTACGTGTTAACATGTAATTTACACATTTACAATTAGTTTAATTGATTTAACGTAATTATGTATTAATGCATAAACAGGGTTTCAAATTAACTTTTTCACTCGCTGGCCAATTTGGCTACTAATTTTTTAAGTTACCAGCCATTCAGAACTTCTACTAGCCAAAAGAAAAAAGAAACCAAATTAATGTCACAGCTTAGCCTATATATACAGGTCCTTCTCAAAAAATTGGCATATTGTGATAAAGTTCATTATTTTCCATAATGTAATGATAAAAATTAAACTTTCATATATTTTAGATTCATTGCACACCAACTGAAATATTTCAGGTCTTTTATTGTTTTAATACTGATGAATTTGGCATACAGCTCATGAAACCCCAAAATTCCTGTCTCAAAAAATTAGCATATTTCATCCGACCAATAAAATAAGTGTTTTTAATACAAAAAAAAAAAAGTCAACCTTCAAATAATTATGTTCAGTTATGCACTCAATAGTCAATACTTGGTCAGGAATCCTTTTGCAGAAATGACTGCTTCAATGCGGCGTGGCATGGAGGCTATCAGCCTGTGGCACTGCTGAGGTGTTATGGAGGCCCAGGATGCTTCGATAGTGGCCTTAAGCTCAACCAGAGTGTTGGGTCCTGCGTCTCTCAACTTTCTCTTCACAATATCCCACAGATTCTCTATGGGGTTCAGGTCAGGAGAGTTGGCAGGCCAATTGAGCACAGTAATACCATGGTCAGTAAACCATTTACCAGTGGTTTTGGCACTGTGAGCAGGTGCCAGGTCGTGCTGAAAAATGAAATCTTCATCTCCATAAAGCTTTTCAGCAGATGGAAGCATGAAATGCTCCAAAATCTCCTGATAGCTAGCTGTATTGACCCTGCCCTTGATAAAACACAGTGGACCAACACCAGCAGCTGACATGGCACCCCAGACCATCACTGACTGTGGGTACTTGACACTGGACTTCAGGCATTTTGGCATTTCCTTCTCCCCAGTCTTCCTCCAGACTCTGGCACCTTGATTTCCGAATGACATGCAAAACTGAGCAACAGTCCAGTGCTGCTTTTCTGTAGCCCAGGTCAGGCGCTTCTGCCGCTGTTTCTGGTTCAAAAGTGGCTTGACCTGGGGAATGCGGCACCTGTAGCCCATTTCCTGCACATGCCTGTGCACGGTGGCTCTGGATGTTTCTACTCCAGACTCAGTCCACTGCTTCCGCAGGTCCCCCAAGGTCTGGAATCGGTCCTTCTCCACAATCTTCCTCAGGGTCCGGTCACCTCTTCTCGTTGTGCAGCGTTTTTTGCCACACTTTTTCCTTCCCACAGACTTCCCACTGAGGTGCCTTGATACAGCACTCTGGGAACAGCCTATTTGTTCAGAAATTTCTTTCTGTCTTACCCTCTTGCTTGAGGGTGTCAATGATGGCCTTCTGGACAGCAGTCAGGTCGGCAGTCTTACCCATGATTGCGGTTTTGAGTAATGAAACAGGCTGGGAGTTTTTAAAAGCCTTAGGAATCTTTTGCAGGTGTTTAGAGTTAATTAGTTGATTCAGATGATTAGGTTAATAGCTCGTTTAGAGACCCTTTTCATGATATGCTAATTTTTTGAGACAGGAATTTTGGGTTTTCATGAGCTGTATACCAAAATCATCAGTATTAAAACAATAAAAGACCTGAAATATTTCAGTTGGTGTGCAATGAATCTAAAATATATGAAAGTTAAATTTTTATCATTACATTATGAAAAATAATGAACTTTATCACAATATGCTAATTTTTTTAGAAGGACCTGTATATATAATTTGGATTTCATACATTCATTTCTTATTTAAACAAAATCCTTTCATCCAGCCGTCTCCTCCTTCCCCAAAATCTGTTTTAGGTTGACAGATCAATACAGTATACATAGAACATAAAAAAATTCACGATTTTGGAAAATAACCAATTTTAGTAAAGTCTTTTCTGTTAACCAAATGCTTTTTAATCTTCACTATTGCTTAAATGCAAATTAACAAACGCTCCATTATTTGTTGCATAGTGACGTGCACATTCAAGTAGGCCAGATATGCGCAGAATATGCGCAATACGCTGTATTTATCATGATGACTCACGAGTTGAGTATTTGCGCTAAATCTGTGAGTAAACATAAGTAACACACCAAATTGGCTAGTGATATGACAACGTTACACGCCACAGTTGATGTTTAACCGCATTTGGCGGGTGTTAATTTCAAACCCTGCACGTAAATTACGTAATTACGCGTTGACATATTAGTTGGCCCTATTGGTAGGCCCTGACACGTTTTGGCCCTTTTGGCCTTCCATATCTATTGCCTTGATGGTGCATGACGTCATCTTGTGCCCAAGAGACAAAAGAAAATTATTAAGGAAACAGGAGCTTGTTCTTTGAACTATGTTATTAAGGAACAAAAAAAGGGTATCTGAGGATGGGAGAGCAGAAGACTTTTATAAGATCACATGATGTCTAGCAGATGCTTTGGGCCCATGAAAGAGGACCCATATTAGCAGCACATCATAGGGTAACGCAGACTCAAAAAGGAAAAGTCAAAGTGGCCTGGTCCTAGCCCCAAGCATGCAGCTCTCTCAGAACACAAAACAAAACCAAGTCCATTTCTCAGCTCATGCATTTTTCATAAGGTATATGGAAACCGAGCCCTTTCAGAGATAAATATCAATTATTGAAATTTTTAATTAGAAGCCCATAATTGGCAAAGATACAAATGAATAAATAACTTTGACGATTAATTATACATATGAAAAAATTAGGCTCTGCAGGGAGCACGTTTGAGTCTCCAAAGATCAAGGAAACACAAGAAATATGAGTTTTCGCCTCAAGTAATGTTCAATTAAAGCTGTACTGACTGTGAAGGTCCGATGGCTTGTTTCATTTCCATATACCCTAAACTCTCAACTTAGACCTTGGCATGTGACATTTTGTGCACAGGTTGATGTAAATCAAGAATTATTTAGCAGTCATAATTTCAACATCATAAAACTGCACTGACAAAATTCATCTGAAATACAATTTTAAGGGTCAACGCTCATGTTACTTTACAAAAAGTGATCTTATCATTTGAAATTCAGCATAACAACCTTTGTTTCGCATGTTAGTTATAAATATGCTTTCTTACGGCTGTACCTGTATTTTCGTCTCCTGTTTTGGCAGTAACACTCTCCTCATTTGAGTATTTTTTTAACCTCTTTCATCCAAAACAGTCATTGATCATAGATCTTACACAGTAAAGTTGGAACACAATAACACATGAATTAGACTCAGTTTCTCTTCATCTCTGGATCTTTTTAGTTCCTGATGAAGGCTTATTGAACGTAAACCGCATATTTTGGAGAATAAAAAGAATTCGTAAGTCAAAAGGCACTGGCACTTTCATGGCAAGCCTCAGTCTTCTCGCAGTCTCTTCTTTCCTAATAGCAACATAATTAATCCTCTGTAGTATTGTTTTCACTCTTCCATGTCCCACTTAGTGCTTGGCAAGTCTCTCTCTCCCTACAGAACAGCCTCTTGATGTTTCCCACACTGAACTGCACTTAAGAAAGATTATTAATTAAGTTCAAAATGGCCCCGATACTTGTCGGTTTCCTCCCTAAATCTTTTTCCAAACATCTTTCAGGTACAAATTAAACTTTCAGGTCTTTATCAGAAGCGTCAAATGTATCCAGAAGCATTTGGAAAGTACAAAAAAAGAAATTTATTCTACATACAAAAATTGTGAACATCTTCAGAACACTCTTCTCACCATAAGCATCACTATTTTGTGGAGTGTTATAGTACTTTTAAGTAAACATTACAAGGCCTTCTGTAGCAGTTCAGGACAAAGTCTGTCTGTCCCAGGTGAATTTTACAGCAGTAACAGGGAAATATCTACAGTTCTGCACATTACTTATGATTTAAAGGCAATGAATATTTTTAAAAAAAAAAGGAAAAAGAGAGAAGTAAAGAACAGGATATTTGTTTTTTCTTTGTTTTCTTTTCAATAAAAGCAACTGACACGACAAAGCAGTGTGAAAATAGTAGTTTCTTGTTTCATTAATAATACAGTTGTCTTATGTTGTATATGACCAGCACTATGCCATATGCAAATGGTTCTTTTTCGGTAAAAATACAGTTTTATTATGTAATGTTGTATATGACCAGCAGTATGCCACATGAAAAAGATTCTTTCCCTATTATGTTTGAAGTTATGTGTACACAATATGCTGCAATTCAGCACAAAGATGTTTAATACTCTCATTTGTGCCAGGAAATGTCATTTTAAAATTGCTACTGGATTTCAAAAATTAAATATTACATAAATATAACATTGGCAGTTCGGGAAGTCTCTTTTCATTAACTCAGTACTGGGGTGGAATTGTCATTATATTTGCCATGAAACGTTTAGCTACTCAAAGAAATATAATACAACGCACAAACCATAACAAAAATTACAACATAAACAAGAAGATGGATCAAGGCTTTAAGCAAAATCCCTTATCCATCTGTGTGGCATGACAGATTAAATTCAACTGGTATGTACTGAGAACAGGATACACGACTAAAAGTTGAAGTGAAGTCTCTTTGCCCCTTGAGACAGTCCAAATTATGGGAAAAACAAAGGAAAATTAGCTATAAAGGTTCTTAAATTTATGGGTTTACTGAACAGCTCTCTATCCACATACTGTATGATTTTCCATGTATTCGCACTTAATCGAAATAAACCGCCTGATGGAGTCTTTAATTGGGTTTTAAGTGGGTGAGTTTTACTTAAAGACTCTAGCTGGTGGTTCTGCGTCCAGGAAGAAGCTGCGCCACTGGAAGATTCTCGTGCAGATACGTCATGCTGCCCTGCTCAGAGAAGTCTGCAGCTGTGTGGCCTTCGCCCCGTAAGACCCACTTGGTAGTGAGAAGCCCTTCCAACCCCACAGGCCCACGGGCATGAATACGGGCCGTGCTGATGCCAACCTCCGCACCTACAAAGCACCACAGGGTCATTATTAGGCAATTAAAAGGGAAATATTTAAATTAAGTGTTTGGGGGGAAAAAGAAAAAGGAGACCTACCGAGACCAAACCGATATCCATCAGCAAACCGTGAGCTGGCATTCCAGAAGACACAGGCACTATCCAATTGCTGAAGGAACTGCTCTGCTGTTTCCTCTACACAGAGCACATGAAAAATAAAGATACATAATTGATTAAATACATTTTTAAAATGAGATGTCAATGCATGTATGGAAGCAGCAACAATCTTTCCACTAGATGGCACTACAGCACTGCTTTTTTGTTCAAAACACATCAATTTCTTGATAATTTCTTAACTAACATTTGCACAGCATGTAACTTTAATATTAACTCACTAAAGTGTCTAGATTTATGATACATGATTATCCACCACTAAAGGACAGGTATATGTTCAGCCTTACCATTTTCCGTGACAATAACATCAGTGTGGGAACTGCCATATTTATGAATGTGATCAACAGCCTCCTGCATGCTGTCCACCACCTCGATACAGCACTCCAGATCCCCGTATTCGGTACGCAGAGATTTCACCTCTGATGGACTGAAGGTCAGGTAGGATGCAAACTTGGGGCCAGCGTGGATCTTCACCTACAGGGGTCAAATCATCAATCATTTTAAGAAAATGTAGTAATAAACGTAGACTATCATTTTGTAATATGCAGAAAAATAAAATAGCCTGTTTTCACAAAAAAACAACAGTAATAGTGAGATGTACACTACCATTACATTTTTTAGTCAGCAAGGACACATTAAATTGATGTGACAGTAAACACATTTATAATGTTTTGTTCTCTTGAACACATGGAATGGAAACAGTGTTTCGCAAAATGTTTTATGTGATATTCTAATTTTGCGTACAAGTTAAATGGAAACATAGCCATTGACAGGCTTACATGTTCTGTTCTCAGCATGTCGATGATCTGATCAAACAGTGGTGTTCTGAGAAGATCTCGATGCACCAACAGGGTTTCCATGGCGTTACAGGCTGCAGGGTAGTCACATTTGGAGTCTCGGACTAGAAAGATGAAACATAACTAGTGTAATTTAAACCGTTACAAACAATAAAAGAAAATTCCCACATAGTTGTACTTTATAAACATAATCCACACTAGTAAATCTTCATTGGCAGTCTTACTGATCTTGATGGCTTTGTCAATACTGGCCTCATGGTCCACATAAACATGGCAGATCCCCTCACTATGACCAAGAACAGGGATGCCCTTCGCTGCACGCTGAATATCTCTGACTAGCTGAGAGGAGCCACGGGGAATGATCAGATCAATCATCTTCTCCAGACGGCACAGATCCTCCACCTCTTCACGCGTGCTCACCTGCCACACAATATATCATTTAATGACTAATATACATATACAGTTGTAATCAAGATTATTCAACGCCCATTGCATTTTCAGTTGAATTTGGGGAAACCACTTGAAACATTTGTTGTGTTCTATTTCAATTACTTTTGCTTAATTTGTTCATTGCAAACAGCTGAAATCCTGTACATTTTGCCAATAAACATGATTTGCAATGGGAGTTGAATAGTTTTGATTACAACTGTATAGATATTAGGGCTGTAACGATACGCGATATAAAATCGAAATGGCGATACTCAGGTCCACGATCCTGTATCGCGATGTGAGAAGGCAGAATCGCGATCACACCCCTTCCAACTTCCTGTCCAGAACCAGGGCTCGAATTTCGGCGCGGGATTGCGGGTATTGCGCATAATTCTAATCATTCCCGCAGGTCTCCCATTTATAATGCGGGAAATTCCCGCAATTGTAATCCACACAGATAATAAAATCAAATCATTCTTTTAACAACTATCTTCCAGACGCAATTTCACAAACAGCGTGAGTGTTCAGCGGTGCCGCGCGCGTCTTCTATCTCTTCTCATAATGTGTTGTGCAAGGCAGGCATCAAGAGCTGCGGCGATAATACACACTCGTGTTCAGGAGTCGGGACCATAGACTGTAAGGTCGGGACATGACGGAATATTCACTTGCACAATCGGGCCAGCAATGCATCGTGACTGAAGTCTATTTAAGTCTTACCAGTTTAAACATTCAAGCGATTTTAAACTAATCAGTGCTCGCGCACTCTCTGAGATTATTTTCTATGCGCTCATTTATAGAAAATCCGCCTCAAAAACAGCTGGCTAGTAACTATTTTTCGCGGATTATATTGCTTTAACACGCAAAATTGTCAATTTCGGTCTTTGTGAGTAGGCTATACTCTAAATATAGTTGGTTTTGTCTTTAATAAGCATAAAACGATGCCAGTATAATGAACACAGGATCCGTGCACTAGCTCTTAAAGTGACGGCAGCCATATGTGTCTGTCATTAATTTTGTTGTCAAACAACAAAAGATAGCTTTAAGTTAAAGGAATCAGGATTAATAGCCTATGTATTTAATTTATTCAGGACTAAAATACTACCCAGTGTTATTTTCCATTTGATTACTTTATTCAGTTTCTGTATATGAATACTAGTGTTAGACCTATTCAAAACTTTTCTCTTTAATTGTCTTTATTTGTATCTTTATTCTATTGTATTTATTTGTGCTACTTTTTTTCAATTTAATTAAACAATTTAAATCAAGCTTCCTTGTGATGTGTAAATTCTTAACAACAATATTACCCCATTGTAAAAATGCAATGAGCGCAAACATTTAGGCAAGATAAATGTAATAATTTTGTTTGGAAAAAATGCCCCCCCTTTCTCCCCCTCAAACAAAAAAAATCCCCCCCATGAGAATCATCTAAAGGGGAGATCGTTTTTGGCAAATGGGGATCCCCCCATTTTCCAAAACGAAATTCAGGCCCTGAGAACTACCACATCTTTAAATTACTATTAGTATTATTTGAAGTTAACATTATAAAATACGTAGACCTACACCACAAAACTAGTTGAGGATAAATTATTTAAAATTTGGCAATTTCAGCATTATGGACGTGAAATTTGCAGCCAAAACTTGAAATATAAATTCTCAGAAAGTGCATTAAATGAATCCTCAATTGACCGGCAACACGTCCAACATGCAGATGCATATCCTACGGCACCATCCCGAAATCAATTTAGTTGGAGTACAGAACACAGCCCAAAAGCAGCAGCCTACACTGCCTAGTATAGTTTAATAATTTGGATACTTATTATTTTTCTTTGGTGTTTAGATTATACAGGTTTTTCCTGATGTTATTTAATAAAAATACCGGTATTTTTTTTCTTCTCTCAAAATCTCTTTTTTTTCACCACAAGCCCCGCCCCCGTGATAGAATCGCGATACGAATCGAATCGTGGGTCAAAAATCGTGATACGAATCGAATCGTGGGTTTGGTGTATCGTTACAGCCCTAATAGATATACATACATACACACTGCCAATCAGAAGGTCAATATATTTCTTAATTAATACTAATATGCAGCAAGTATGCATTAAATTGTTCAAAAGTTACAGTAACGACATTTATATTGTTACATACAATATCGATTTCAAATAAAGCAGTTCTTTTGAACCCTTTATTTATCAAAGAATCCTGAAAACAATGCGTCACGGTTTCCTCAAAAAATTTGAAAAGCAGCACAACAGTTTTCAACATTATTAATAATAAATGTGACACTAAAGCCTGAAATAATACCGCTGAAAAATCAGCTTTGCCATCACGGGAATTAATTACATTTTAAGATATACATTACAATAGAAAACAGTATTTTTAAATTGTAATGCGATTTCAGAATATTTGTTTTGACTTTATTTTTTATTGAATAAATGCAGCCTTGGTAAGCTTGGGGAGGGACTTCTGTCAAAATAAATAAATAAATAAATAAAATTTCGTACTAATGCCAAACTTTTGAACAGTAGCGCGTGTATGTGTGTGTGTGTGTGTTTGTGTAAGGTGAAAATCTACAGTGCAAAAGTGATTCATTTACCAGCTGGATGGCGTCTTTCACTCCATGTATGGACAGGGCCTCCTGGGCGAGCTCATGCAGGATGCGATTTGTGTTGGCTGCCTCTTTGCCACCTTTCAGCAAAAGAGCATTTCCACTTGCAACGGCTAAAGCAGAAACCTGTCGAGATAAACAAAATTTAGCAGGTTTATAAAAGGTGACTTACAGTACACATACTGGTTTCTCAATCTCAGTGGAGCAACCTGGAGCCTTGGCTACTGTCGGGTTTGAACCAACAACTTTTCTGTTTACAGCCCAGATTTTTAACATAAACATGCTCACAAACAGGAAAACCATAACATTATGTATAGGCATGCATTTTGTGCATCTGACCTGGGGGAGGCAGTCTGGCCGGGACTCAAAGATGACCAGCAGTACTCCTATGGGGACGGTGATCTGCTCCAGCTCCAGGTTGTTTGCCACACGGGTCCTTCGCAGAACCCTGCCAACGCTGTCCTGAGAGGACACTGCGATCTGGCGCAGACCGATGGACAGACTGTTCAGCTTTGATGATGACAAACTGAGTCGCTTCAGCAAGGCTGGAGACAGACGACCTGTAACATCACAGATAAAAACTGACTGATATGCAACTCCAATTGGGGAAAATTACATTGCACGTGGTCTAGAGAGAAGCAATCACTTCCTGTTACCTATGCTGGCAGCATGCTCCATGTCCTTTTTGTTGGCAGATAAGATCTCGTCTTTCCTCTCGGTGAGGAGATCAGCAAATGCACAGATGATGTCACTTCTCTGTGGACAAACAGAATGATTTGACACAGGTGCTGTCTATAGACGTGAAGATGAAAATAACCCAAAATATTCAATGGTTTCTGGGAAAATACTAGGCACACATGATTCCAGACAGTCATTTAAAATAGTGGTTTACATTTTTAACTAACCTGTTCGGGTTCAAGGGAAGCAAGTGTCCTGCCAGCAGAACGAGCCATTTCTGTCTGCTGCTCAACTGTAGGGCCTGTGGATGAAGAAAAGTGGCATCTGAGGACTTTTAACAGATAAGGATAAACAAATCTTGTCAGACGAAAACTGATTCAGTAGAACCGGGGATAACTTACCAGCTGGCTTGACCTCTGAGAAGAATGTTCCCACTTTTTTGCCCTCAACAATGTCAGTGATCACATGACCTGTGACTTTGGGGTGTGTACCATTAGCAATCACAACAGAAGTCCCACCTTGGAGAGCCCAGAGGGCAGCTTTTACCTAAAGTTTAGAGAACACACAGACTGTCATTTTTAGGCATTCATACTATCAAAAGCTAGCCTGGGTTTCCCCATACTGCCTTTGCGCAGCGCGATTTTATTGACGCTGCTAGGCAGTCTGGATACCATGGACCAAATTTTCGCCTCAGCGAGGGGACCAATCACAGAACGGGGAGGGAGCAGCAAGACGATGACGACGTCTATGCGACACACCGAAGCAGTTTGTTTATACCTATGGATCAAACATGGCAGCAGACGTGAAGTTACCTTTCGACGCAGCCTTAGATATTGATCTAAGTAGTTTAGAACGCAAATAAATCTCAGACCCATCGTCTTCTTCCTCGTCTAATTTCTTTCGCTCTACATACGTCATCTGGTATAATTGAAACGATTGGCTATGAGCTATGTACAGGCGCATTTGATAGACCCAATAAATGGCTCTGAGCATTTGTAAACCACGCCTCAAATACGAGAAAATTAACATGTGGTTCCCAACCACGTCTCAATGTCAATGAGACGTGGTCTGACGTTAGCCAGGGTAATCAAAAGCTACATTGTGTTTCTATATCAGATTCCCTTTCTGTAATAATACCTTAGCTTCCATTCCTCCAATGCCGACCCTGGACTTTGTGCCATAGGTTATGGAATGCTGGTCCCCAGGGTAAAATGTGTCCAGGAGCTTGGCATCATCTGACCCCGGTGGGCTGTCATAAAGGCCTAAATAAGTGGCAAAAGAGGACAGAGAGTAAACAGTTGAGTTTAAGAAAGATTTCAACCAAAAATGTATAGCCTGCCATTGTTTACGCATCAATTGCAACTGCATGAAAAAGAGTGACTCTCTTAGTCTTTAAAGGTTTCCCTTTAGTGTGAATTTTTGGCTTCATTTTATAGATCAAAATATTATCTTAATTTTTTTATATAATACCATAAGAAAAATTAACATAAAAGTAATAATTGTTATGACAGTTTGTGAAATATCCATGACACATTTTTTCAGCATTTATTTGAAATAGAAATCTTTAGTAACATTGTGTCTTTACAATCACTTCTGATTAGTTTAATGCAGCCTTGCTGAATAAAAACATTGATTCTTTTCCAAAAATGCACTGAACTTGACCATAAAATATCAATATATATATATATATATATATATATATATATATATATATATATATATATATATATATACACACACACACATACATACACATATATAAATATATATACACTGCCATTCAAAAGCTTGGGATCGGTACGATTTTTTATGTTTTTAAAAATAAGTCTCTTCTGCTCGCCAAGGCTGCATTTATTTAATTAAAAATACAAAAAAAAAGTAATATTGTGAAATATTATGACAATTTAAAATACTGTAACTGTTTTCTGTTCGAATATATTTAAAATGTAATTTATTCCTGTGATGACAAAGCTGAACGTTCAGCATTATTACTCCAGTCTTCAAACGAAGTTAGTTTTTGCCTGATTTTGTTCGAAATGACTATCGAAGTATTTTAGGGCCTTAACGAGTATGGTAATGATCTAAACATTCAATCTGAAATCTCACCCTCTACATCAGAGAGAGCGATGAGAAGATCTGCCCTCATCTCCACGGCAAGCCGCGCTGCAAGACTATCGTTATCCTTGATGCTGATAACCTGCAGAATGAAAAAGAGAAATACAGAGTGTGACAAAATGAGTCTCAAGAGCAAATTAGAGAAAATAGGCCTTGTCTTATAAACCCACAAAGCAAGACATCTCCTCTATGTTTTTAAGCTTCGTTGAGCATTTATCACTAAACTATGACAATAAAATGGGTGTGATGAACAATGACTATGTCTAGTCTATGAAAAGGCAGAATTCCACATGAAACCACATTAGAAGCCGCAGCCAGTGCATGATAGAGCAAATGTAGATGAGCTCAGAGAGTAAGCGACAGTACTGTGAATGAAGTAATGTTAGTTTCTTTCCACTTTCTACAGGAATGGAAAAACCCTCAGGCTGCAACAGTGCAGAAGACAAACATCAAGCCTCTGTATTGCTCTGCTCCAGCATGCATCTGTAAAGCCCCCTCCCAGCATGCAGTTCCAAAAGGAAGAGGATGGGTGCCAAGGCTGCTGGGAAGACTCTATCTCCCGATTCATTTTGCTCTGTACCCACATTTACCCCCTGTAGGTCACTGTTGGGTTCTGGGGGAGGCACCACAGCATCGTTGGTGTTGATAATGGGAACGATGTTCATACGCAGCAGCTCGTGAAGGGTGCTGTTCAAATTTCGTCTTTTCTGGTCGTCGTGAAAGTCCAGATTTGTTACCAGGATCTGAAGCAACAACAAAAAAATCCATTAAAATATGAATAAGAGTGTATTTTTTGAAGTGTCATCATGCATATGTGAGTGTGTGTATGTACCTGGGCTGTACAGGTGCTGTACTGAGTGAACATTGCTTCATACAGAGCCATAAGCCCACTTTGTCCCGCAGCGGCACACGCTCTCGCCTCTAGAACCGGCAGTGCCTGACAGAGGAAACACATTCAACTTTAGCTTCTTAACTTCTTAAAGTTAAAAGGATAGTACACTCAGATAAAACATGCTCGCTTGACGTACGAGAGAACCAGTGAGGTTTGTTCATTTGTTCTCACACGTCAGGCAAGTATGGTTTAAGTATGGTTTCATTTACCATATTTGATGTGATCTATTTGTGTGCCATGATCAATGTTTAAATGTGAATAAAAGCCTAAATTAAATCCGTTCATCATATGAAGTGACTGTCTCTTCAGGAGCCTTGCATTAAACCACTCGATTCATATGCATCTCTTTATGAACATTTTAAAGAATCTAAGTTTTGGGTGAATGGACTTACGATTAGATTTTTCAATTTAAAAAGTTTGTTTATAAGTTGAAAGAAAGTCTTCTCATTTAGAATGAAATGAGGGTGAGTAATTGAAACTGAATTTTCATTTTTGGATGAACTATACATTTAACACATTGTATTTTTGTTTAAAGCATTTTAAACAAAAATTGTACCAAAGAAATTGTTAACAAATTTGTATGTCCTCACCATATCTTTGAGCTGATTCTGGCCTGAATGCAGGGCTTGTCTGACGCTCTGTGAGAGAAGAATTTCGTGCCTCAGCCTTTGTTTTCCAAATGCTACAGCGCCACTGGTCACGATCATCATCTCTCTACCCTGATTCTGAAGCACGGCCACCTTAAACAATCAAAATTCAGAGTCATACAACAATGAAATATTGCATAACGCCGCCTTGTTAGTAAAATGTGTTACATCACAGACTTATTTGCAAATCCTTTACCTGTTCTACTATTGAAGCAAGTCGGCCCAAAGCGAGGCCGCACTCGTCGCCGCGGGTTACGACGGCACTCCCCAACTTGACAACGATTCTTTTGGCCTGGCGCAGCTCACTGCGGTGGGCAAATGACTTACCGTGCGCCCGTGCCAGAGGCACTGTAAAAAAAGGCACATTACTCCACTGACGCACAGCATGGAGTGTAGGAAATGGGAAGGAAGAGGGATCTGCATGGGAAAGAGAGCCGGGAAAGAACCCAATGAGGAGCCATGCCATGCAGGAAAGCCGTGAGTGGATAGATGGGTTGTGTTAGTGTGCACTGATTGTATCACCGATAAATATCAGAATAATGTGGAAATGGTAAGAGACAAGCAGAGAAAACAGGAAGTATGAAGTGCATGTCCATAATGTAACAAATGGCATTGTATACTATAAATACCGTTGACAAATTGCTTATGTTCCTCTATTCCTCTATTTTGTCTGCTAAATGAATAAATGTAAACAAATGAACATTATGCTGGTCCCCCTGGTATTCCAGAAAAAAAAAAACTGATTTAAAAGACAGTAAAAGTCATTATTGACTATATTTACTTATCAAATCATTTGAGAAGTAAATATTTAATGACCCTTGTCTTGTAATTCAAAATTAATCATTGCTTGTTTTCATAATCTAAAATGTAATAACTTTCTCTGTTTCTCTTTAGCTGGAGTAACCATAGCCACATAGCAAGAAAAAAAAACAATAACAGCAGTCTAACTTTCATCATCCAATCAACTTTCAATGACGTCTATTCTAATTATACATATATTTCTAATTATATATAAATATTTCATAGTTAAATGTTTGATTTGTTTTAATAATGTTTATAAAAATATGAATATAAATATATGACTTTAGTGAAACATATATAAATTCTGTGAATAAATTAACAATAAAATCTCAAAAAAAAAAAATTCAACTGTTTTAAATGCTACAAGTGTAGAGTACAGTATGAAAAGTGGATTTTTCTTTATTCTGAGACTAAAAATTTAAGAGTAATTAAATACTTTAAATGAGTTTTACATTGCGGCAAAAGGTCATCTAAATGTAAAAAAAAAAAAAAGTTTTGAGTAAAAACAGTGAATCTGAAATCACACCCTTTACATCAAAGAGAGAGAGCAAAGCAAAAATGTACTTGAAAACAAATGTAGGTCTCTATGGGATTCCAGAAAATTAAGCAAAGCATGAAATCAATGTTGACTACCGTATATTTTACTTATTAAAAATCCCCTGGTCTTATTATACAAAATTCACCAATGCTCTTATTATGTTCTCATAATAATCATAATCTAAAATGTAATAATTTCTCTTTCTGTATCTCTTATGCTGATGTAAACAAAGGCACATTAGCAGGGAAAAATAACAATAACCAATAACATTACAGTCTAACTTTAATGACCCAAACAACTTTCAATGAATAAATTTAAGTCTCGCCCTAAACTAAATTCCAGGTGAATATATTTTTTAACTCTTAAATTTCACATTACAGAGGTTGAATAAAAAATGCAGTCACAAAAGTTATCTGGAATCAAAGTCGAAGCAATCAAATGAAGAGAACAGAAATCTGGGACAAGCAATTCACAAAGCTGTGAGCTTGTAAAGTACAGCGCCCACCAAAGCCCCTGCCACATTCTTTATGAAAGAAAATAACATGCTAAAAGGTGCCACATCAGCAAAGCCAGACAGCACAACCAAACGCTGACAGGACAGAACTCAAAGAAGAGCACCGACCCAGTGAATGAGACAGACAGACGTGCTGTAAATTAGAAGCAAGGGTCATGAAACAACTACTTGCATCTCCATATTTTAATTACGGACTGATTTTAATAAATAAGAAACAAGGAAGAATATACTGATATACAGGACGGTACAGTCAGTCAGTGTTGCAAACTTTTCTTTATATTACCCTACATATTTTACTTTCTTTACAGAGGTATGGCATACAAGGCACATAAATAATACACAAGTACTTACTTTTGCCTTGAGAAGCAGCTCTTCTGAAGGTTTGCAGAGCATTTGGTCTCGCTAAAAGCCGAGAACATGAGAACATCTTCTGGAGATACATGGTGACCAGATCTGTACAACTAAAACATAACCCATATATTTCAGATAAAAAATTAATTAATTAATCAAATCAATTCACTTAGGCTAGATCCTAGGCAAGTCCCCCCACATAATGAATTATGCAAGATATTTTGTGATCATAATTTCTTAAACTGAAAGTAAATGTAAACAAAAGCTTGATATATAACATGAATTCCACACCCAATTGACCTAGTAACGTTACGTTCAATTAAAATTCAAAGACAAGTGCATCATTGTGCTGAAGGAAAGTTGTCACCAGGGTTTGATGTTTCTTTAATTATTTGAATACGACATTTAATACGTTTTGTGCATATACTGTATGATCTAAGTGCATGATATCTACAATAATATTTAACAATATTAAAAACAACGAGGTTCAGGAAACCGTTACAATAATCAATATAATTAATAAACATAATCAATACAGACATTAAAGAACAACACGTCTTATTTATTCAGTAAACTTTCTTTAGATACACGTTGGCTGATGCAAGAAGGAAGAATAAATGGCCCAGCATGACAATATCGTGCAATTGCGAAATTGCGATCGTGCAATATCTTAATGTGAAAATATCATCTTACATACCTTAATCTGCTAAATAAATATTACTTATTCAATTCAAGTTCACTGCCACCGCTGCTCTTCAGTGCCACATCAACTCTCAGCAGCTGCTCTCATGGATTCGGCCATGTTGACGTTCATCCACGTTGATACGCAACGAGCGTACGTACTAAGCTTTACGACGAGATCGTTACGATTCACAAACATTTTTTACGGTTGCCTGGATACGCCGCTTACCTAACATACACAATCTTCGCAAAAAATAAATAAATTTGATTTGAATAATAAATAAATAATAATAATAATAAACTTCTAAAATGTCAATAAAGGTCAGAATGCAGTACTTTTGTCGGTATCGCAGCCATGAGTTTGAATCATAATCTCCAGCACTAGAGGGCGGCGTGTAAACATCAGGATCAGGATAAACTTATCAGACGGTTCGTCTGCATTCCAAGGGCCGGACATGGACAATGGACCATTCTTAACGCTGATATTTTGCCTAGTTTTCTTAGGTCTTTAGTGGGTTGGTGGCCCTGTTCTGTATACGTGTTCTTCCTCCAGCACGTATACAGCCGTGCCTGAATGAATCATTAAAGGGATAGTTTACTGAAAAATGAAAATGTTGTCATCATTTACTCACCCTAATGTTGTTCCAAACCTGTATGAGTTTATTAAGGGGGCCCAGTAGTGCACAATACAACGAAATTTAAAAAGCAAACATAAGTTCAAAACACAACGAAATGAATCCACAACACAAAGGAAATGAGCCACAAAATAACGGAAAATAAAGCCGCAACACAACGGAAATGCGCCCTACCACTAGAGGACTCTCGGAGCGTGATAAAGTCTATGGATAAAGTTAGTTCCCTTTCAAGGCGGTCACTTCGACATTACGTCATACTGACGTATATGGGAACTCCTCCCTTCTCCATTTTCACTGAAATCTTATAGGTTAACGCCAGCTGGAGACAGCTGGCCAATTGACGCAAAACATGCAAATGCTTACCGGTCCGCGGGCAGTATAAATAGCATGGGCGCGACAATTACGTCAGAATCTCTTTCTTCACGCTAGAAGTCTTATCTGAAGTCATCGTAGAAGTTGCAATAGAGGTTACTCACCATGTTTCCTCCCCGCATCCGATGGCTGCTACATGCCAGATATGTGTGGTATTGACTCGCTCTACCCAAACAAGGATCTACCGAGGCCGCACTCACGGACGACTGGCATACGTGCTGGTCTACCAGTGTGCGCCCTCATAAACTCCGGGCATCAGCAGGGATGAGGCCCACTGCCGCCAGCGGCTGCTGGTGGGCCCTCTCACGCCCAAAGAAGAGTTGACAGTCGTTCTCCCCTGTGGCCCAGTGGCGGAACCTGAAGCCTTCGCGCGAGAGACCTGTGTTCGATCCCGGCTCTCGCAGCAGATACATTTTAACCTGCCCGTCGCCTCTCCGGTCCTTTTCGCGGGCTCGCTAGACGGACTCGACGCAATAGGCTTCGTCAGAAAGGATACTTTTATTATTTTACTTAGCCCGGTATCTAACAGCCAGGCTACTTCAAGAAAGATTCCGTCTTCACGACGTCCTATGGTAAGTCATGCGAAGACGCATCCAGAGAGACGAGGCAAGGCGATGGCTCTGTGTCTAAAGGCGCGAAAGTGGTTGTTTCCCCCTGTGGCTCAGCCGTCGCACGGGAGACCCGTGTTCGATCCCAGCTCTCACAGCAGATAAAATTTAGTCTCGCCGCGGCCAGACATTAAACCGAAACTTTTGATCTCTATATGTCCAGCCTTCCTCGATGTCTCTCTTCGTCGGCACCTCGTCCCGCCTAATTCGGCTACAGCCGCCAAAACGGTTCGAACCCGAAACGAACCGGATCTTCACTGTTGGCAGAGGGCGGGACCGGGAATGTGGCGACACAGGCCACGGAGAGCGCCGCGTCAGGACGCCCCGCTCTGGTAATGGAGGTGCACAGCTTACAGCTTATGTCGTCAGGCTGCCCTGTATCCTTCAGTGCAACTGGCCATTCTGATTTAACCACGTATCCACAGTTGTTGTCGCTACGCCACTGACGCTGTGTTTATGTTCAGACTACACACTGATATGTGCTATGATTTGTGCCGTCATATATTGCCCTGTTTCTTTCAGTGCGAATGGCTATTCTGATTACCACGTATTCACAGTTGTTGTCGCTATGCCACTGACGCTGTGTTTATGTACACACTGCACACTGATATGTGCTATGGTTTAACTGTTATATCCTTATATATTGCCCTGTATCCCTCAGTGCAACTGGCTATTCTATTAACCACGTAATCACAGTTGTTGTCGCTACGCCACTGACGCTGTGTTTATGTACACACTGCACACTGAAATGTGCTATGATTTAACTGTTATGCCCTTATATATTGCCCTGTATCCCTCAGTGCAACTGGCCATTCTGATTTAACCACGTATTCACAGTTGTTGTCGCTGTGCCACTGACGCTGTGTTTATGTACACACTGCACACTGATTTGTGCTATGATTTAACTGTTATGCCCTTATATATTGCCCTGTATCCCTCAGTGCAACTGGCCATTCTGATTTAACCACGTAATCACAGTTGTTGTCGCTACGCCACTGACGCTGTGTTTGCACACACTGCACACTGATATGTGCTAAGATTTGCGCCCTTATATGCTGCCCTGTTTCTTCAGTGCAAATGGCTATTCTGATTACCACGTATTCACAGTTGTTGTGCGATGAAATGACGCTGTGTTTACGTGCACTCTACACACTGATATGTGTTCATGATTCATGCCGCTATAAATTGCCCTGTATCCTTCAGTGCAACTGGCTATTCTGATTCACAGTTGTGCGATGCCACTGACGCTGTGTTTATGTACACTGATATGTGTGTGTTATGCTTATGCCACGATATTGCCCTGTACCCTTCAGTGCAACTGGCTATTCTGATTACTACGTATTCACAGTTGTTGCGTTGCAACGGACGCTGTGTTACGTACACACTACGCACTGTTATGTGTATGATTTATGCCATTATATATTGCCCTGTTCCTTATCCTTCAGTGCAAATGGCTATTCCGATTACTACGTATTCACAGTCTTGCGATGCAACTGACGCTGTGTTACGTACACACCGTACACTGCGTTATGAATTTTGCCGTTGTTGCCCTGTATCCTTCAGTGCAAATGGCTATTCTGATTACTACGTATTCACAGTTGTTGTGCGATGCAACTGACGCTGTGTTACGTACACACTACACAGCGTTATGTGTTGGGATTTATGCCATTATATATTGCCCTGTAATTTTCAGTGCAAATGGCTATTCTGATTACTATGCAGTACGTATTCACAGTTGTTGTGCGATGCAACTGACGCTGTGTTTATGTACACACTACACACTATGTGTTATGAATTTTGCCTTTGTATTTTGCCCTGTATCCTTCAGTGCAAATAACTATTCTGATTACTACGTATTCACAGTGTGGTGCGATGCAACTTACACTGTGTTACGTACATACAACTCACTGTTATGTGTAATGATTTATGCCATTATATATTGCCCTGTGTCCTTCAGTGCAAATGGCTATTCTGATTACTACGCAGTGCATATTCACAGTTGTCGTGTGATGCAACTGACGCCGTGTCTATGTACACTCTACACACTGTATGTGTTATGATTTATGCCGTTGTACATTGCCCTGTATCCTTCAGTGCAAATGGCTATTCTGATTACGTACAGTTGTTGTGCGGTGCAACTGACGCTGTGTACACGCTACGCACTGATGTGCTATGTTTACGCCGCTAAATATTGCCCTGTATTATCAGTGCAACCGGCTATTCTGACTTACTATGTATTCACAGTCGATGTCGCGATGCCTCTGACGCTGTGTTTTTGTACACACTAATGTGACTATGCTATCGCGTTGCCCTGTATCCTTCAGTGCACCTAGCTATCCTATCTAACTGTGCATAGTCACAGTTTGTCGCTACGGCGACTTGCGCTGCATCTGTGTCCACACTGAAGCGTTATGCAGTTATGTTGCTAACGTAACTGACCATTATGTGAACTGTGCATATTCATGCAGTCTCGGTCGCTTCGTCGACTTGCACCGCATTATACACTCAGATGTTTGATATGTGCACACTGATGGGTAATGCTGTTATGTTGCCCTCTATCCTTCAGTGCAACATCCAGCTATCCTATCTAACTGCATATTCAGTTTGGTTGCTATGTCGACTACACGGCACGTACAAGGACGTGTTTTTGCTATTTTGTTGCCCTGTTTCCTTCAGTGCAAAACTAGCTATCCTAATCTAACCGTGCATATTCACAGTTCTGGATGTATGTACGTAAACGGATGTGTTATGCTGTAATGCTGCCCTGTTTCCTTCAGTGCTGCTAGCCATCCTAATCTAACTATGCATCTTAGTTTCTGTCTCTACACAGTTTCTGTTGCTACAGCGACTTACGCTGCGTTATGTACATGCAAGGATGCGCTATTCCTTACTCACTTGTGTTATGCTGCCATGTTGCCCTGTATTTCAGTGCAACTAGCTATCCCAGTCAAACTGTGCATATTCACAGTGTCCGTCGATACGGCGACATGCGCTGCATTTATTTACAAATGGATGTGTTCATGCAGCGGTGTTGCCCCGTATCCTTCAGCCTAATACGGAGCTAACTGCGTGTATTAAGTTGGCGCTACAGCGACCTATGCTGTACGTGCATGTGCTACGCTGTTATATTGCCCCGTTCCTATCAGGGCAACTGGTTATTCTGTGCAAACTCATATATTCACAGTTGTAGCTACAGTTATGACTGTGTTTGTTTGCTTACTGAGGTGCTATGCTATTATGGGGCTATTTTCTAACTGCGTATATTCACAGTTGTCGTCGCTACGGCCACTGGCACTGTGTTTATGTACATTCAGTTATGTGTTGATTTGCACTTCTGTACATTGGCTATAGAACATCGGCTATGTTCTACAAGGTGGCACCCCAGCCCCAAGCTGTGGAACCTTCTTGTGTGTCCGCTGCTGGGTCCTTAGTTGAGCAAGACACTTCACACTGACAAGTGCTGAGACGGAGCTCTCCCTAAGATGGCCTTACCACCGGCTCTCGCCCCAGCGAAGCACTTGGAGACTTACGCTCATTCTAG